TACTAAACATGAGTGGAATTTGCACCGCAGCGCCCCCACACCTTGATGCTCATGACAAGAATAGCATGTATAGTTATCTTTATTGAAGTGAATTAGGTTTAAATCGCCGTCATGCATGAATGAATGATATTTTTGCAATTTAGCACATAATAATCCACAATCATCACATTACACAAAACTGAAATTGCACGTCAAAATAACACATTGTCAATTTTTTTTGAGACTCCCCAAAATTTCACAAATCACGTTTTCAGGGGAGCCCATGTCTTATTAAGGGGAGCCGAGCTCCCCCAGCTCCCCCGTAGTTCGCACCCTGACTGTCGCCTATCAATTACGTAATATCCGCGCTATCTGTTTCGCTTGTTGAAACTATGGCAACACACGTGGACAAAAATGCTGCTGCAGTTAAACTAAATCCATTACGGCAGTCGCGAATAAAAAGAAAATGAAATGAAAACTGTTGATTGCAGCATTACCTTTAGATCTGCCCAATGTTGCACCATGAATCTTTTTCCGCGTTTTTACAGTGTTGCGCGTTATAACCAATCACACACGAGTCTGTTGAGTTTATGAACGCAGTGGCCAATCAGAGGCGTTTAGATGAGTCATCGCTGAAACACCAGAGTTTTGTTCAGTTCGCGCTGAGTGTATTCTCTCATCATAAACAACAAAGTGGAGATGTATGTACTGTATGATGTAAGTAGGAGATTCATTCATCAAACAGTGTATAGACAGCTTTACTGATTTTTTTGCGAGTGCTTAAACTCGCGCTAGACTGAAGTCAGGCATACTGTTCTTTGACAATGTAACGTTAAATGTTCTTTGCTCGCTTTCTCTATATAATTTATTCGCTGTTTGAATAAATTTGGAAGGTACAGGTAATAATAAAAAAAATTGATTATATCCATGAACATGATTCGGACATCTCTGGATGGTGAAAACGACGTCTCCCATCATTCCACTCTCCTTCATAGCATCAAGCTTCGCCTTTGATATTGTTTTGAAAATGTGACCTCTAGCGGCGAAAACGTACGTATTGTGCCTTTAAATGACTGTGTGAATGTGTGTGAGTACATGCAAGCATACTTGTACGTCTGTGCATTTGTTTGTGCACTTGTGTGTCAGAGCTTACATCAAGAATTAATTCAAAAAGTTGTTTATGATTTTAACAAAAAATTACATTTCGGTTTTTTAAAGATTCGCTGAAAGGATGTAAAATGCTGTGCTCTGCCATGTTTGTGCTGTTTTTCTCTTAGAGGTCACTAGATTAGTGCAGGTTTGTTTTCTTTTCAGAATAACTTGACATTTACAGGTACCATTAGTGGAGATGTGTGTGTGTGGAAGGAACACATTCTAGTGAGAATCGTGGCTAAGGCTCACACTGGACCTGTGTTCACCATGTACACCACATTACGTGACGGGCTCATTGTGACGGGGGGCAAAGAACGACCGTAAGTGGCTTGAGCTTTCCAAATATCTGTCACTGAAATATTTTGTTCTCTGAATCTGCATGAATGTTCTCAAAAGGTGCTGTAGTAAATGAGAGGATTTGTGTGGGCTGCCCTCTGCAGGTCTAAGGAGGGTGGTGCGCTCAAACTGTGGGATCAGGAGTTGAAGCGATGCAGAGCCTTCAGACTGGAGACGGGCCAGATCATAGACTGTGTGCGCTCTGTCTGCAGGGGCAAGGTACAGCACTGCCACAGAATCAGTACATTAAAGAGGATGGGAAATACTGGACCTCTGGGAGGACATTAAGAAGTTTAGCATATGTTATTTTTCTGAAATTAATGAATATACTGTACCTCAGTAGAAACGTGGGCTCCGTTATTTATTTATTATTTACAAATGTTTGGCCCCATGTGTTTTTAAAAGATTTAGTCCCATGTGTTATGCCTTGTGTGGGTTAATGGTGTTCTGTTTTGTCCCCAACAGGCTTTTTAAATATTTTTTGATGATAATGATTGTTTTTAATATTTCTCTCTCTCTCTCTCTGTCTGTCTCTCTCACACACACACTCCCTCTCTCGCTCTCTCTCTTTGTGTGTGTTACACAACAACTCACCCACACTCATTTTTATATCTAATAAATAAATAAAAGTTTGGGGTCATTTTTTAAATAAATTCATACTTCTAATACCTTATAAAACTATAATACTAATGCTTATGCAGCAAGGACTGTGTGACAGTAAAGACATATATAATGTTACAAAAAAGCTTTCTATTGATCAAGGAATCCTGAAAAAAAACACGTATCACATTTCCACAAATTATTAAGAAGCTAAACTGTTTTCAACATTGATAATAATAAGAAATATTTCTTGAGCACCAGGCTAGCATATTAGAATGATTTCTGAAGGATCATGTGGCACTGGAGTAATGGCAATGAATTACATTTTAAAATAAATTAAATTAGAAAAATGATTTTAAATTGTAGTTTTGATCAAATAAATGCAGCCTTGTTGAGTATAAGAGACTCTGACTTCTTTCAAAAACAGTCTTACTGACTCCAAACTTTTGAATGTTAGTGTAGATAGATAGATAGATAGATAGATAGATAGATAGATAGATAGATAGATAGATCTTCAATATAGCAATAATGCTGTAGAAATCATAGAATATGTAAAAAGAGAGAGAGAAAAAAACATTTCATTCCATGCATTTTTGAATTTGTGGTAAGAAAGGACACAAAATAAGTAAAATTATATTTCTAAAGCCAGTAAGAACAAACTAGCCTTACTCAGAAAGATCATGCTGGTTAATAGTTTTTTTTTTCTTATAAATAGTATGGCTCCGTGTCCTTTTTCTTGATTGTTTAGGGGAAGATTCTCGTAGGCACTCGGAATGCTGAGATCATTGAGGTTGGTGAGAAGAATGCAGCGTGTAATATTCTGGTGAACGGCCACATGGATGGTCCTATCTGGGGACTGGGAGCTCACCCCACCCGAGACGTCTTCCTGTCTGCTGCTGAGGACGGCACTGTGCGCCTCTGGGACATTTCAGAGAGGGTAAATTATATAATGCCTGTGCACAGTGATTTTTTCTGAGATACCAGATGATTCAAATGCTCTCTTGTATGGGAAAACAGAAGATGCTGAATAAAGTAAACCTCGGTCATCCTGCACGTGCGGTCAGCTACAGCCCAGAGGGCGACATGGTGGCCATCGGCATGAAGAATGGAGAGTTCATCATCCTCCTTGTTACCTCACTCAAGATCTGGGGGAAGAAGAGAGATCAGCGCTCTGCCATACAAGATATCAGGTTAGACTGACGCTAATTCATTTTATAAACATATTCATAATAATTCAGCATATTCACTAAAATGTAATTGTATTTAATTTAATTTTTAATTTAATTTAATTTAATTTAATTTAATTTAATTTTATTTTATTTTATTGATCAGCGCTCTGCCATACAAGATATCAGGTTAGACTGACGCTAATTCATTTTATAAACATATTCATAATATTTCAGCATATTCACTAAAATGTAATTGTATTTAATTTAATTTTTAATTTAATTTAATTTAATTTAATTTTATTTTATTTTATTTTATTTTTTATTTATTTTTATTTTATTTTATTTTATTTTACAGTCATGTTTCCAAGAAAATAAAGGCAATTTTAACATATGAAATAAAGTTGCAATTATGAAATACTAAATGCATTTCCATTTCCTTTTCAGGCAGAAAAAAGTTTCATTATAGTAGTTTCTAGGTGAATGCTGTTTCATTCTGACATTAACATGGTCTATTGCAACAACTAAAGTCTCTTTTCCTCAGGTTCAGTCCAGACTCACGCTACCTGGCTGTGGGTTCCAGTGAGAATGCAGTAGATTTTTACGACCTGACGTTAGGACCGCAGCTCAACCGCATCAACTGCTGCAGGGACATCCCTAGCTTTGTCATGCAGATGGATTTTTCTGCTGACAGCTGCTATGTGCAGGTACAGCATGTTGGGCTGTGTTTGTGTGGGTTCACTTGTTTGTACTGTATGTGAGAATAATGACTACCTGAACTGATCTTTTGAAAAGAAGTACACTTTAACATACTTTTACAAAGAGTGCTTATTACTGCAATTATATACTCTAAATTAGAATAAAATTAAAATGTACATTTATATTAAATGCAATTAGTTGAGGGCTTTTAGGACCAACTTATGTAAGACTTAAGTACATTTTTACATATAATTTCATAATTCTGTTATCTTTGAAATATGGTTAAAATGTACTGCTGAATGTACTGACAGGTGTTTATTAAAGCAATATACCCCAAGAAACCATGGTTTACAGTGAATTTAGAACAGCTAAGGGGCATTATAATGTTGATTTGAATGCTTGAAAAGAAAGGTTTGCACACTTAACTGTAATTAAAGGATTTTAAAAAAAAAATCAAGATTAAATATGCATTTGTTTTTATTTTACAGATATTTAAGTTTGTTCTTGCATGTCATGTGACAATTAATCAGTATCAGAGAACTGTGAACATGTTAATGTGTTGTTAAGTTATTGAAATATTAACTTAAAATGTCAGATTGTATACTTGAAGTAAATGTTTTACATCAAATGGGTTCGGCTGACAAAAAATATTTAGGTATCCTTGCCTTAGAAAGTAGTTTATTAAAAGGAGAAACATAGAAACATATGAGCTTCTTCTTCCACCATTTAAGCACAAAGTGGTATTTTAATGACTTTCTATGCTGTTTCTGTGCCAGACATCTTTCGATCAGCTCTATACACAGTTATTCACTCTGTCTGCATGTTTTGCTCTCTGCAGTTGTCTACTGGTGCTTATAAACGTGTAGTCTATGAGGTGCCTTCTGGGAAGCAAGTCACTGAGCAAGCAGTGATAGACAGAATAACCTGGGCCACATGGACAAGGTAACGGACTGCAGCACATTTTTGTGTATTTGTATATTCTCATTCAGACCAAATTGAAATGGTCTGTAAAAATTACACCGCAAATTACCTATTGTTTTCAACTAACTCTGGTCCTCGGAGAAATCAAATCCTGTCTGTGATTTCAGAATATTGTTTTTTCACAGCACTGATTTATTTTTTACTCTTGTTTTGCTGCCTGGTGTACCTTTACTATAGACCTTCTGGGTAACAGTTGGTGGTTCCAGCACTGCTGGTATCCCATAGAATAAAAATGAAATCAATAAAGTGACAGTTCACAATGGCTACACTCTAAAAAATGCTGGGTTAAATACAAGCCAGTGCTGGGTAAAATAGGGACAAACCCAGCAATTGGGCTGTTTTGACCCAGTGGTTGGATTAAATGTTTAACCCAACCTTCTGGGTAGTAACTCAACCGCTGGGTCAAAACAACCCAATTGCTGGGTTTGTCCCTATTTTACCCAGCACTGGGTTGTATTTAACCCAGCATTTTTTTAGAGTGTACAGTAGTACTGCAGTGTTGAATTGTTTGGGTGTCTCTGTAGTGTCCTCGGGGATGAGGTGGTGGGGATCTGGTCCAGGAACACAGATAAGGCAGATGTAACCTGTACTTGTGTGTCTCACTCCGGCCTCAACATCGTCACAGGCGATGACTTTGGAATGGTGAAGCTGTTTGACTTTCCGTGTCCAGAGAAATTTGTAAGTATATCCCATTTTTCCTGAAATAAAATGTTGTAAAAGTGTGAAAAATACACTTTTTTTGTGATGCATGGTGATTTAAGTCTTATTTCACTTAAAGGAGACATAGTATGCCCCTTTTTACAATATGTAATATAAGTCTCATGTGTCTGTGAAGTTTCAGCTCAGAATACTCCACAGATCATTTATTATATCATTTTGAAAATGCCTATTTTGAGTGGAAGCAGAAACAGCTGTTTTTCGTGCCTGTCTCTTTAAATGCAAATTAGCTGCTGCTCCCCATCCCCTTTTCCAGAATAGAGCTGTCATTACAGCTTTTAACTGCTAAAACATCTGTTTTGGTTCTGATTATCATGTTTATCGTGCTGAAATCATGCGTTTTAAACCATATTAGTTAAAAATTCTGATATACGGTTTTATGAGCGCGCACATCCGAAGCACACGGACAGAAAGCGGCTGTCACAGCATGTGAGTACTAAACTAAGTTTTCATTCACACACAAGTTTACGTTAAAAACACACATGAGTTACAAAAACAGTTGGGAAATAAATCGCATGTTTATTTTAGATCTGTGTGGCAGCAGCAATATACAGTAAATAAATCAATAAATCCATTGCTCTCTCGTCTCCTCTGAAGCTGGGACTCTAAACAGTGTTCTGTGCTCGTCTGTGCAGCCAAAGGCAGAACAGTTAGCATGTTTTGTTCAAACTTTTGCCTTGGCATTAGAACTATTAAACCGTTGTCGCTTGCAAAATCAAAATGACTGGGTGGAAATTTACAGATTAAGGTGCGGTAATATTTTTATGAGATCCTTTGCAATGTCACTAGTGAAGCGAAATCAGATGCGCTCGTTTTTTTCAGACGCTTGCAGAAAAAGGCTTACCAAAACAAAGTTACTGGGTTAATCTTTTTCACGTTTCCTTGATTGGTAGATGCACCGGGGACCTGATTATAGCACATATTTTCATGATATGTCACCTATAACACACATGCGTAAATTACCTTCTAAACAGTATTCTGTGCTCGTCTGTGCAGCCAAAGACAGAACAGTTAGCATGTTTTGTTCAAACTTTTGCCATGGCATTAGAACTATTAAACCGTTGTCGCTTGCAAAATCAAAATGACTGGGTGGAAATTTACAGATTAAGGTGCGGTAATATTTTTATGAGATCCTTTGCAATGTCACTAGTGAAGCGAAATCAGATGCGCTCGTTTTTTTCAGACGCTTGCAGAAAAAGGCTTACCAAAACAAAGTTACTGGGTTAATCTTTTTCACGTTTCCTTGATTGGTAGATGCACCGGGGACCTGATTATAGCACATATTTTCATGATATGTCACCTATAACACACATGCGTAAATTACCTGGCAGGTCCAAACTTTGTGTAATGATGTCTATATAGTATAATAGTTTGTGTAATAAGCCTATAGTGTATTGCTAGACTGCCATGCATCATGGTTAAAAGAACAACCAAACACTAATGTATTTTTGCAAATATTTAATCTTTTAAAGAGACAGAACACCCAAAAATACAATACTGTCATCGTTTACTCACCCTCATGCCATTCCAAACCTGTATGACAAACCAATACGAGTTCATCAGCTCATTGAAATACTTTATAAATGTATCGTGGCTTCAAACTATGCTTTATAAACTTTAGCTAAAGTGCAAATTTTCAAATGAATTCCTGCATTGCATCTTTTAGTTTGATGCACATCTCAGCTGTGAAATTTTTTATTAGCTTACTTTATTTGCCTTGAGGTTGCAAATGTGTATAACTTGTAGTATGTGCATTTTACGGTTATTTAGACTTCTCCTTAGATCTTCTCCTCCCATTATATTATACACTATCACCATAAAATCCTTTCAAATATAACAACACGCAATTACAGAACACCTTTGTCCACATTTTATGGACTTACAGACAACATACGTGTATAACAATGATGTTTGCCTTTGATCTTCATAATTATTTGTACAAATTTGTACAAAAAAGGTGGGCTTTACTCATTGGTGATATTTCATAATTGTCAATCATAAATTAATCCTGCCATACAAAGAGTTGCACTCTAAAGTTCAACTAATTGCAGTTAATATAAATTTAAACAAAGACATTTCCATTTAATGGTCAATAACATGCAATGAACTGTCTGAAAACATTACATTCAGTTCACATTTAAATACATTAAGTAAATATAAGTATATTCTTTTAAAGTATATTATTTTTTATGAGTACTCTTTTATTAAAGTATGTTAAAGTGTACTTGTTTTTCATGAGGGTCAATAGTGCTGTTCCTATACAGATAAATAGAAACCACAGACTAATTTCCGCTGTCTCTGCATATTGTATTTGACTGAATGCTGAGGAAATGCTGCAGCATGTGACAGTACATCACAAGACTGGATGTGACTCAGTTCTGGCCAACACAGATCAAAACATTCTCACAACAGCCAAAGTTCAGCTGTTTAATTGGATTTTAAAATGTTTATTTCCATTATATATCCATACTCTGACCTGTTCTGCACGCACTTCTGCTTCTTCAAAGATAACAGATTATCTGACTAGAATCTGTTTCCTCAGGCCAAACACAAGCGTTTTCTGGGCCACTCTGCCCACCTGACCAACATCCGCTTCACCAGTGGGGATCGCTTTGTCGTCAGCGCCGGAGGCGATGATAGAAGGTGCTTGTTCTGGTGTCATCTGTTCCTCACAAACCGCATCTTGCTGCATTTTCGTCCTTGTATTCCTTGTTCTTCCTTGTATTCTTCCTTTTTTGAATCAGCATATTGAGACCGTTTGCATGGTTGGCTTCACTGTGTCCAGTTGTCAGTTTATTTTTTTTTGTTAACTGAACAAAAACAATTTTGTTCTGTTCTTTCGACCCAGAACTGTATAATATAGACAGGATAGCGAAATAATAATAATAATTTATCTCTTTGTATTATTGATGCCATTTCATTACGTTTTGTGTGTGTGTGTGTGTGTGTATATATTTCAATCATGACAACTCTCTGAAGATTTTAGCATGGTGATGGATATGACAATGTTAATGTATTTGGTCTTGGTGGATCAGATCTGCTACGCTGCTGCTGAATTGCTGCTGCTGTTGGTTATTGCTGTAGTTGTAGATTATTGCTGCTGCTGCAAGCAAGTACAGGAACTTGCTACTGCCAATGCGTACGGCAATACGGTGCCGTGAGTATTTAAGACATACTGCTGCTGCACAAATAACATATAAAATAACCCCGTGGCAGATCTATACAGGTGGAGCTGGGGAAGGTGGAGTGTTTCAGAGAAAGCGTGAATGCTAGCCAGCCATATACTGTAAATGCAAGGCATTAAGCTCATTGCATGAACCAATCAGCATGAACCAATCAGCTTGTGCCAAGTCGTTTAACTCTCTGAATATCATCAGTTACGTTAACACCCCGTCA